CTCTCTCCTCTTAACATTTCTGCAATGTGTTGACTGTAGCACATGGAGTGTTCAAGTTGCAAGGACATAATCAACAGCTCTTTGGAGTACTAATGTAAAAATATAAACTTACAAATCTTATCCTTTTTTTTCTCTAAGGACCACTACACCAGGAGAGACTAAACTTTTAGCCTCTGAAGTCTATGATATCCTTCAGTCTTCCAACATGTCAGACATGGACAATGTGAATGAGATGAATTACCGTCGACGGAAAGCACAGTTTTTCCTCGGCAGCACAAATAAACGTGCCAAGACAGTGGTTTTGCATATAGATGGCCTTGATGATTCGGTAAGGAAACTTTCAGAGTTTGTGGAAGTGAGGCATGCTGTACTGAGGTGTATTTTGCCCACAAAAATAATGTCCTCAGGCTACTTGTGTGGCATCATCAATTGTCAGCAATTCCTGTGGATTGTATTTTGAATCACAAAATATATAAAATCTTGCGTAAGTTGAGTTTACTCAGAATATCTAAAGAAGATGTTTTAAGGCAGTTTTCTTGATGGCTTTGAAATTACTCCAAAAATTACTCTGTTTCCACCTCTCCTAATTTTCCTTCCTTTTTTCAAGAAAGAACAGAATTAGCAAGGTGCCTTCAGCATTTCCACTACGGATATCTTGTGGTTTTATCAGTGTGTTAATCTAAAAAAAAGTTTCCTTTTAGTTACGAGATGTTTCATTCCCTGTGGGGTTTTTTAATTCCTCTTAATTTGGAAATGCTGGATTTTCTTTGAGTTGATTTTGCTAAATCTTTTCATTGTCTGTGAGATCTTTTCTACCGGAGTGACCAGAATGGCATTTGAGTTAATGAGGTCTCACTGAGTCTTTATGTAATGTCAGAATAACTTCTACAGATTTATCTACCATACCCCTGTAGATAACACCCCAGGGCCATGTTTGCCTTTTTACGGCTGCCAAACAGCATGTAGGCTGTTTAAGCATGTTATCCACAAGTGCCCTCCGGACTCTGTATCTTTCAGTTTTGTACCCATTTTAAATGATCAAACCTGATCCTTTGCTTTGTTGCTTTACATTTTGCCAAGTAAGCGTGTCCACAGGCCCAGTTTATCAACAGCACACCCACTGCACTGTTTTCATAAGACCATAGTTAATTCCTTTAGAAATAACATGCTGCTCTAGCTCACTTTATACAAAGTAAATATTTTTTACAGTTTTGTCCTTCCAGCACTTGCTCTATCTAGAAAGGCAGTGCTTTGTCAACACCACTGGCTTTTGTACTCTGAAGTTTTTTTAATTCAGTCCAATCGGTTGTTGTTTTTAAGCTTGTAGTTGATTTGTTTGTTCACAGGTATCTCCAAGCAAGAAATTTCATCCACTTCTACTTTGTGAATTTAGATATTTTGCCTGTAGTATGATTCTCTCTTAAAAGTGTTTCTTTGTGTTCTTCAGCAGCTGGAACTTAGTGAGATTGTGAAGTTTTCTCTCTTCAGTGCTGAGGCAGAGATATCGTGAAAAAGCACAGGGTGTTTAGATATTCATCTCCAGAGAGCAGAACTGCAGGTGGATCTCACCAACATGTTTTCCTAGCTCATTGTTAAAGAAAAATCTGGCTGTGTACTGGCTGAGAAGTGATAGTGATACGCCAGGTGCTCACCCAGCAGTTAAACATCCCTATAATGCTGCTTTAAATGTCACAATAAGTTGAGACTGGGAGGATGACAAAGAATGTGAGCAGCAGAGGCAGCTTAGTTTCATTCAACAGTTTATTCCCGACTTAACTAGCCAAGAATATTAGGTGGCATGTGTGAGTGTTAAAAGGCACAGTGGGTAGACACAGGGCTGTAGACATGGTGTTCTCAGTCTGTTTTGTCATTTACATTTGTTACAAGAAACTGCTGTTGGGATGATTGCAGATCCTACAAATGCTTGTGGATTTCAAAACAGCAAACAGTAGATATTGATTGTTTCAGAAAGGTAAGGGAAAGGTCGTTTGTTGTTTAGTGTGGGGCCAGGTGGCTTTATTTTAAGATCTAATTATCAAATTTGGTGATAAACTTTTTAAAAAAAAGGGGGCAAAAAAAAGACAATATTTCAGGAGCTTGTGGCATACCCCTCACTAACTTTTCTAGTCTGTACATAGTAGTAGTATTCATTAGGGTATAGTAATCAGGGTTTGGTGTGCAAGAAAGGAACCTAAATTTTACCTGTCCTACCTTGTGCCCACCTTATCAGTGGAAGCCTCATTTTGAATTAAACTGAAGTACCTGTCATTTACCCTGGGATCTTAGTGTAAAAGGTCCTGATATTCTGTCACAGAATTGCTGTACAACCATGTAGCATAAATCATTGTTTCGGCTAAGAACCTATGAATGTGTTGCTTCTAGTGTCCAGAAAGAAGCAGTTTCAGCTTTCACTTCTGCAAGGCAGCTTATCATCTTCGCATCAAATACCTCCTTCATATGGGAAAGGTAGTCTATCCAACAAAGTTATTTTCTGTAAATCGCAAAAATGTTTATTATTTCAATACATAAACTTACATAAATTTATAGTTTAAATACAAGTTCTAAACTGCTAAGAAAAACCCCAAACTGCTTCAGTTGGTTCTTCCAAAGCTTAAAAGAATTTAATTTGCTTATTGTGCATGAGGCTATCCCAGATACTGACTAGTGATTATTTGATAACCAACATAAATATGCTTTGCAATAACTGATTGTTTAACTTGCAGAAACTTGCGGTGAAAGTTAAATACCTCATTATTTTAAACCTGTGTAAAGGCTGTCAGTTTATTTATTAGTGAAATATCCCCTTTTTTATCCCCTTCTGTGCTAGCAGTCTCTCCAAGTATATTTTAATCCCTTTTGTTACAACTATCTTGTGCAAATATTAACAGGAAGAAAAAAATAGAACATTGTAAGGTAAAGTAACAGATGCAGCTAGTACGGGTCAATGTCATGTTACAGCACAGTAGGTGATGTCACTTGCTTTAAACATAACATTCCGTGGGTCGTCAACCAAATATTTTCATTCTGAAATAGGAATTAAGCTTTTGCTGTGCCATGGTGTCTGTGAGCTGCCACAGATGAAGCAGCCGAAAGATACAACAGCTGCTTTGATGCATTCAGTCAGTATGGAGGCAAGGTGTCTGATAAATAGCAACTTAAACACTAACTACTCATCAATGAGCACTTCAGTCAATCAGAACTTAACCAGAGGGGACTGTTTAGCTGATCGTACGGAGAAAAACATTCTTTGCTTTTCAGCACTTTTCTCTAATTATTTACAGTTGATTCCATCCTTCTTCGACTTCTAAAGTGTAAGCAATTTTTTTTTTTGTGGCAAGAGAGTCTAATATTTGTGCACGAAAATGTAAGTCTCTGTTTTTCTGTCACACAATTGTGGGTGAGAAATCACCTGCCCTCAGACATACAGGAATTCCTTAACAATGAATTGTGAGCATTTTCACATGGTGTCTTATGAAAGTACTTTAGTTGTGGGATTTTTGTTTTTCAGTCTCGAAGAAATCTCTGTGAAGAAGCCTTGTTGAAAATTAAAGGTGTTATTAGTTTTACCTTTCAAATGGCTGTTCAAAGGTGCGTGGTCCGAATTCGCTCAGACTTAAAAGCAGAGGTAAGTGCTCAGTAACCCTCCAGATCCTCCAATTATTGCATTCTGTTGCACTGAGCTCTCGTTTCTTTCTGTGCACTTGTAGGCATTGGCAACAGCAATAGCATCAACCAAAGTTATGAAGGCACAGCAAGTTGTGAAAAGTGAAAGTGGTGAGGAGGTAGGATGTGTATCTTTCTAAATATACTAATTGTTATAGCTCAGTTCTGTCTTTAATATCAGCACCTCTGTGCCCACAACAGCTGATGCCAGGCAAAAGTTTGTAAGTGGGAGTGTTACCTATGCAGTACAAGGAGAATAAAGGGTATTCTATGTCAGGACATGAATCCATAGAACAGTTCTATAAAATTACTGCTCAGAAGGACAGAAATACCATAATTGTTTCTCTCCTTAGTGATATGAAAAGTGTCACAGTGAACCTGTTTTGGTTGGTTGCAGTGCTGATGTGCTTTTGTTTCACAACTACAGTAAAAGGGCTACATCTTTGTTTTGTGATACTTTTTCTTCCATGTTAAGCCAAAGATTTTCTTGTGTATCTTCTAAGCATAGTAGTTTCCATTTATATTCATGCTGTATAGGGCAGTGGGTAGGAGTCTCACAGCGTGCATGCTTGTCATCCCGAACATGTGTGTGTTATAACTTTCATTCATTCTTTTAAGTTACAACATTTGACATACTCTGTTGTGTTTTATCAGATGCTAGTTCCATTCCAAGATACTCCAGTGGAAGTAGAGCAGAATACAGACCTACCTGAATACTTGCCAGAAGATGAAAGCCCTACTAAGGAACAGGACAAAGCAGTGTCTCGTGTTGGGTCACACCCAGAAGGTGCAGCAAGCTGGCTTAGCACAGCAGCAAACTTTCTATCAAGATCTTTCTACTGGTGACTTGTATTTGGTGTTAAAAGACTGTGTGAATGAACCAACAGGGGGGCCAGTTTTCCATTGGTGTGGTGAACTGCCAAGTGCAATTTGCAATAAATCATGACAAAAAATTTTAGATTAAGCAAATGTATGCTGCATTTTACATTTTATTGGACATTTAGCCTAATAGGGCAGGGGTCAGAGGACAGAGGCCTCCCGTCAAATTGTTCTCTCATTTGTTTTTCATGTAGATTTTATTGCTTCACTTTTTAAAAATGGGTCCACTTATATACCAAATGTTTATGCTATGCGTATAGAGCTTTAAGTTAAGTTTGACTTCACGTGAAACACATGGTAGAGAGAGAATCCATTCAACTCAAGTCTCAGGGCCTCTGTGAAAGAAAATTCTCAATAGCTCTAGCTGTACATTAAATAAAATGCCCTTTTGTTTCTGCATCCATTAGGGCTAATGGTATTTTGTTTAATTTTCTAGATTTTGACTCCAGAGAAAAGTACAGTCTGCCTCTGTTTTTTGCCCTTTATTTTTGCCAACCGTGTTCGCAGCGTGAGCACAATGTTCCCCTTTTGCTATTGAACTAGGATAACTACAGATTTCAAATGTATTCTATGTATACTGAATTTTTTTCCCAGCCTGCCCTTAACCATTGGACTGCATAAGATAAGAAAAAAAGGGATTGAATAAACACAAATATGTATACATACATTGTACAGTAAATAAACAAGAACATATTTGTAATGATGGGTGTGACTGACTGATATATATATATATACATATATAAAACTAATAAATACCATTGACTGCTGTTTAGGCTAGCTGGGAAGACCAGCAGGAAAAGCTGTGGTCTAATGTAGTGATGACCCATTGCAGCTCTGCCTGCAGAGAATAGAGGAATATAGACTGTATTTGGTTAAGAAATGGTGTTTACTATTAGCAAATATTTAATGGTAATTAAAACTTGAAGTGTAGAGCAGGACAGAATGCCTCTTTTGCCACAGTGCCACACTAAATTTTGACTGTAACTCTTTTTCTTTTCTTTTCCCCCAACAAATCTGATGTGCAATTGCTGTTCCCTCCTAATGTCTTGAAATTCCTATGAAAGTACATCAGCTTGGATAGGCTTAAAAACATATGCAAACAGTTGGCTTTGCCCTGTAACTTAAGGACAGAATAAGCTTAAAGATATCTTAGTAATATCTGTGAGCAGAAGTGATAATAAAAGCAGAACTTCTGCAGGTAGAGAATAACGTATATCTGAGCTGTTAGTAAACACTGTGTGTGAGAGGATTCAGTACACACAGTGCTTGAAAACTGCAGTGCCACTGCTTTGTTGCACCAGAGAAATACAGCTGAGAACTTTAAAACATGTTATAAACCTCATTATATAATGCTTTTTTGTGGTAATGTATTTGCTATACTATGAATTATATTTACCACTTGGAGACTTGGAAAAGTAATTTAATGCATCAAAGTTATTCCCTTGTGCCTATGCACAAGGAATAAATAAAAAAAAAACACAGGCTGTTGTAATGCTACAGAAATGCTGAGGATATGTTAATGTAAAATAATAATAATGCAGGTCAGAGTTCACCCACCCAGGTTAATTGTCATTCTAGGGTAAAAAAGAAACTAAAGCTTGTTGGCAGACTAGATGTCTCATGTTTTTTAATATATCTAGTTTATTTTTGATTCAGGTTTACACGCACAGATTGAAAATACAGGCTTTTCAGAGCATGTATTGCTTTAAATATGTAATACTACTCATATTGCTGTCTAGAATGTTACAGTACCAAATGTGTTTGAAAAGTCCTCTGTTCTATAGCCATGAATGCAGAGTTTTGTTTTTCTGCATTAACATCTGTTTGCATTTGCATTACTGCACATCTATTTACTAAAAGACTACACCCTTTGGATATTAATGGTTCAATACCAGTAGGTATTACAGTTTGTTTGTGCATTCGGTCTGTAGGTGTGCTTTATGACAGTATTGCAGCTCTTGTAGAACAGTTTAAGGCATCTGTAAAAGTTTTTGAACTATATTGTAAAATAATAAAAGATAATATAAGTAAACAAAACATGACTGGTGCCTTTTTAAATGTCTACACAAAAGCTGGTGCCTTTTTATAAAAGTCTGGTGTTATTTTAAACTACTTGTGGTGTTAGAGGCACATCTTTTTCCTCTTTAATTTAACACAGAGGAATACAGATGTCCAGTCATAGGGAGTCCTTTGCTTCATATCACAGTAGGGCTTTTTTGTGCATCTAGAACATGTTTATATTTTCTAAAAAGGAGGTAAGCAGAAGCTATTTGAGGATATTGTCTCAAATTCAGTTTTAGGAGTGGTTTTGGACATTAGCTTTTTTTTTTTTTTTTTTTTTTTTAAATAACTGATGCTGTTTAGGTCATGTTTCATTGGAGAAATTAAGAAGGATCAACATTCAACACTGGCAGTGTTCAAAGCCAGGTTGGGTAAAGCCCTGAGTAACCTGGTCTAGTGGGAGGTTCCCTGCCCATAGCAGGGGGGACTGGGACTAGATGATCTTTAAGGTCCATTCCAATCTCTTAACATACATGATTCCTGGAGAAACCTCTTATTTTTAAAAAAGTGAGGAGGGGGGAAAATGTCAAGCACTGACTTATTAATTTTATGCTTGTACTTTTTCAGAGGTCAGATTAAGGATGAGAAAACCCTGTTAGTTTGACCTAAGGATATGACAAAAAAACTTACTGCCAAATTAGAGGTTCCAAAAAGAAGCTGAACTGGGAGACAAAGCACTGATACCACACTGCAGTAGTTGCAAAGTACTCAACTGGCAAGGAAGCCAACGCATACGTAATGGTTCAAGCTGTGAATTGTCCTAGGGTTATAGCCACGTACAGCATAATGGAATAATCACTACCATGTTTTCTTCTAATAAGAGTAAATGCTGATGGGATAGGTAGAGGCAAAATTGAGGCTCGTAACTGTGCCTCTGTGAACAGCTGTCAAAGCACTGTAAGCATTCTGCAGTATTGTGAAATACATTACACTCTAGCTTTCCCACTCCACAATCACCTATGGCTTATTCCATGCAAAAAATAGCTGATGTTGCTGAGTTTTGCCATAGGCTGTGTAAGCTGATGGGGAGAGTTCTCTGTGGGGCTAATTCAGAAGAAAACAATGAATACCTAGACAGATGCAAACTGGCAGGTGTAAAGTACTCCTGTAACTGCCTGCAATGTAAAATAAAATATGGGTGCTCCTTTTTGCCTGTGAACAACGTTCCAGCTGTCAAGTAGCAGAGCTTAAAAGCACACCTAATAAAAATTAGCAGTTCCTTGCCATACTAATTTTGCAGAAGGCTGGACCATGTAGTCTTTCCTGTTTCTTCATCTGCACCTAATTATTCTGAGTTCCTAAAATGTGTACAAATCTGACTGTTAAAATTAAGGATTGAAACTAAATGAAGATAGAGATGAGAATAACCTACCTCTGATGCTGGTTGTAATTCTTCAGGAAAAGTTGAGAGTACGTGAGTTGGTGAAAGCAGGTGAGCAGCAGGGTCACTGGAGACTTCTTCAGTGAGGTACAGCATCTAATTAGCCTCAGGGGGGAGGCGTTGAGATTCCTGCTCTAAAGCTTAATATAAAGCTGTTAGAAATTGTCCTATTTGCAGTTTACACAGGGCAGGCAATGCTCTCTGTTTAACCTCTCTTGCAGGTTTTGAATAGGGTTGAAAAAAGCTGATTTGAATTTGCAGCACTTTGTATATAGGTTAACACAGGGAGAGCAAGGTCTACCTCTGTAAGCTGATGCATGTGGCACATCAGAATTTACATTATTTTGAAGTTTCTTCATGTTATTGTTCATTTATGTGCATCTTGTACTAGTCACTTGTTAGTGACTGCAAGAGTTAGAGCTTCTTCTGTAGAATGAATTCAGATCCCTTAAAACAGTTAAAGTCTCAAGAGACAGAAACATCTCACAGGAAATGCACGCTCTTAGCAGATTTTTGTGCCAGTTGTCATGGTAGAAGTTGTTTAAAATGTTAGTATCTGAAGGCTGCTATGTGGATCAAGTTCCCAGCAGCTCGGTCTATTCATGGCTACCAAGCTACAGAACTTGGTAGCTAATTTCTGCAGTGTTTCATACTTGCTCAGTGCCTACAGTTCAGGTCAGTTAACCAGCAATGCTTGTGCTATCCTGACCAGCATTTCTAAGGAGCTGAATAAAATCGCAACTGGAACCAAACTTCTTACGTAAAAAGCACTTTCTGTGCCAGCAGTGCATGGCAATATGTCTGACTGGCATAAAAAGGGTCCTTTAAGTAGCAGATACAAAAACCTGAACACCACAAAACCACTGTATGACAGGATCGTTGCTTTCACTTCCTATCAGAGTGCCGAGTTAAGTGTAAATACTGAGAATAAGGGGCTACTGCTTGTTTGGAGTAATACCTTGCTGTTTCATACCTCTTCTCACTGAGGTCCTTCAGGGATGTGGCATGCTAACCCACCGGTGTAGGGAGTTGCCATGTCAGCTTCTCTGTGGGAACTGCTCCTCTGGATGTTTGCTGGTGAAAGGGGAGGGCAAGATACCACGTGAGCCGATGGAGAGCTAGCAGGGAGCAGCTGGCACACTGTTCACACCTAACATCCCACAGACACGTGAACACACGGAACACAAGGTCTTTACAAAGGTGTTTTTCTACTAGCCTCTTTTTACAGACTGCACAACAGTCTGTTTACCCAAATTGCTCAGGAATCCTGGGAAGTGCAAAATTTTGTGAGCTGTCTCTGATTCTTAGTTCATGCTTCACTACATAAATTAAACTGATATGCTTTCCATTTTAAGAGGGGGCTTTGCACTGTCTGGATTCCTTTGGCCTGGAGTAGAAAAGTAAACCTGTCATAAGCAACATTCCTTACTGAGTTATACATTGGATGAATCACGAGCCAGGCATTGTCAAAAGCCAATTTTCATCTCAAAATAGTCCTTACTGATTTGTTGAAGTTCTAGGTAAGGAAGAACTTCTGGTAATAAATACCCTTTCTAGTTGTTTTTCCCAAAAAATATTTAGCTATCTTTGAATATATTACATTTCTCAAACTTTGCACAACATGAGCTATTTCAGCAGTGCTACCTGCATAAGGTGCCTAAGACATCTGCAGCCTTCACGGGAGCTAAAGCATCACCCCGATGGTGGTGTTTACACCCTTTCCAGCAATTAATGTCATTAGTAGTTTTTAATCCCTAACATTTCTCTAAGAGGGTGTGATCTCCTTTCTAGACTCCCTCTATACACAACATTATATAGCTGATACGAATGTGATTTTTAACTACTTTTCAAGAGCATGTTTTGGTTGAACTCCTTTCCTGACCTTGTGAATAGCATAGGCTGGAAGTGATAGCACATC